CTGTTCATAAAGACCTATCCTGAAACGAGCTTCACCACCCTGTCGATCTTATTTTCCACCTCATTGCCCACTCTTGTGTCTGCTTACACAAGCACTCCCGGCCGGATGCCATACACTGCGCCGTTGAAGACGTCGCCTTCCGCGCAGCACATTGAACACTCTGAACTCACTCCACAATCCTGTCCTAGCTCTCCCACCGCTGTCGTCTCTCACCATCAACGCCAGCACCTGCCTCGCTCGTATTCTTCCACCTCATATGTGCGAAGGCACCGACGAAGCCCTTCAAGTAGCAAGGTCTTTGTCTTTCCAGAGCCCGAAGGTCATATCAAAGTGGATCATGTCAACGACCCTCATGCCAGTATTCGAACGTCGCCGCCTCCCATAAGTGATGCTGTCATCCCTCCTGGGGCTTTGATCTCACCTCCTGAATCTGCCAACAATTCAAGTGATGAAGAGGTGTCATACCCATCCCAGGACGGGCTTCAGCTGAAGAAGTTGGAGGCTGCTGTGAGGTCTATTGAGCAGAGACGAGTGTCCTCGCCGGAGAGACAGCCGTCGGAGGTGCAGTCCTCGTCGAGCATGGCAGCCATTGCTGGTGGCCCTGTTCAACCTCCACGGCCGCCCCTCTCCAGAGAGGCCCGCAAGATATCCCACTCTCGATCGGTTACAGAAACCTCAATTGACCGTAGACAGGAGGAGGCTTTGACTAGCTCTCCAGAAGAAAGTGACAGAGATGACGAGCCCCCGGTCAGGCACCCTATGGTCCGCAAGAAGTCTGGGGAACTGGTGAGGCCAGCTCTTCGCCCACCTTCGGCTCGGCGGCGCCCATCTAGCATGCCGGGGACTCCAACTTACGCAAAGGCCGTTCACTTCGACGCTCAGCTGGAACATATCCGTCATTTTCTGCAATTGGATAAGCCTCAAGCCGTAAGTGCAGACACATCGCCAGTGGAAGACTATGACGCAGCAGAGGAGTTTCCGTTCAAGAAGGGTCATCGGGACATGCCCGCTTTTGAATGGGAGCTTGGACTGTCGAACTTTCCTAAAGACAGCCCTTCTCGGGCTAAGCAACGCGTTCGATTGGAACGCCTGCACTTGTCTTCGGATAAAAACACCATGATCGGCGTCGTTGGGGTTGCCAACCTGGCTTTCCACAAGCACGTTGCTGCTCGGTTTACTCTCGACCATTGGAAAACTGTTTCTGAAGTCTCAGCCGAGTACAATGATGACCCCCGACGGAAGCCTACTCAGGATGGCTATGACAGGTTTGCTTTCAGCATCCGGCTGGATGACCAAGCAAATTTGGAGAGGAAAACCATGTTTGTGTGCATTCGCTACAATGTCGCTGGAGAGGAGTACTGGGACAACAACAACTCACAAAATTACCAAGTCAACTTCCGCAGGGTACAAAAGGAAATGCCCCAGGCCCGTGCTCCTCCCTCCGCACGTCCTCGTACAAATTTGCCTAGGAGCAGGAGCTTTGCTGGATCAAACAGTCGCCCACACTCAATGCCGCCTTCATTTGATGCCCTGTCTGAGATGGACAAGTACATCTCGTTCGGCAACCCACCAACGAATGGCAAGAAGGAACATTTGGGTGATGATGATCCGCATGATGTTGAAATGGTGGCTCCGATACGTCGCGATAAGCAGAACCATCAGGTCTTTGGAAATCGTTACGATTTCGAAGCCTCCTTGTCGGCAGCCATGCGGACCAAACCTACTCACGATCGCACGACATTGACAGCCCGAGCAAAATCGAAACTCCCGTCGCATGGTAGTCACGGCCATTCATCGGAACGGAAAGCAAGCCACAAGGAGGAGAACGCACCTTTGCCTAGCAGAGGTAGCCAGCAACCAGGGTCCCCAGACCACCATAAACCCTCTACCATCGTTTCTGGCAAGCCGCATCGCGAGTCGTCGGTGTATAAAGAGTTGGTTGATAAATACTGCTTCTTCGGATCCGGATCGATGAATTACCCAAGTGGTGCAGTTGGTCCCGTCACGGGAAGTCCGGACTATGAAATCCGGACGGGGTCTAGTAGCAGTTCCAGCTCGGTGTCTCCCTGCTCATCTCCTCCCATGGATGGGGTTTATGATGGTGATTCTCGACACTCTCCTGCCGCTCCGTCGTCACCGAACCATATCGGATATCCATATCTTCAGCCTATGCAAAACAGTTTTATGAAGGATACGCAGACACCTGCTATCATCCAAGGATGAACGAAGATGCATAAGCGCTTAGACCCCGCCGCCTACGAGATCACAACGCGAACGTCCTTTGCTTTCTACATGTCTCTGTGTCCCTCCGTCGATGGAAGACACGAAATTTCTTTTTTCCCTCTTTCTTCTGTTACCCCAGTGGGGATAAGCTTTCTGAAGGCTATCAAGCATGACTTGAAACTCTTAAACGACAGTGCAGTTGTCAACCCGACCTGCTCACCTGGTGTCCATGAAGCCGCCTCGTTCCCATCTTTGACTCGACTTTTGTTGATGCGCCCGCCTAAGTATCTACGAGGATCCTTTGCGATGTATTATAAACCGCGGGATCTGACGTTATGCTGGGAGGTGCATTGTTTCCTACCTATACAACACAGGGGGGCTTTTTCCAATACATTGGGGCGCGGCTACGATTTTGCTACAGTAACGATTACGATTTGATGTCTTGTATCTTTCCTTTGCAGTTATCTTTTTCAGTTATTTACCGGGGCTACCTTTGCTGAGTGGATGGGATGCATGGTAGGTTCCTGCGCAGCATTTCCAGGGAAGCGAGGAGGCGAAGCAAGGAAAAGTGTTCGCATTGAAGTGGTCTAACGCATTTGCATCATTGTTTTTCGTCATCTACTTCCGTCAATGATGAGCTTCTGTATGGTGTTCGGAGTATGAGTTATTCTGTTTCCTGTACCTTATGTTTCAATTCTTCTCTACGCTCATGATTTCTCCAAGTTTTGCTAAGGGTGGGTGGTGCATGGGTTTTCATTTTTATTCGAATTGCTGTGCTCCAGGGAGGGTCCGTGAAGCGCATGTAGCTGCTATTCAGATATGCAATGGTACACAATACAACTGATTAGATTGCAAGAGATGCGAGTTTGCCACCGATGTTAAGAGTAGAATCCATGTATGTTGTACAGCGTATAGTGGTGAGGAAGTGACATCCGGCCGCCAAGTCTCACGTGACGGACCCGCCGCCTTACGGCCTGAGCCGCGCGGGCAGCAGCAGAAGTTGGTCCCCAGCGGGAACAGCGCCAACCCGCAACCCGCAAAATCACCACCTCGAAAGCGGTCGTTCATAACGCCCTTTTTTACCCCCGCGGCCCGCCAATCAGGCTTCTCCATTGCTTTTGACCCTTCCAGATCACCCTCTGGGGCTTAGTCATTCACTCCAAGGGGCAAAGCAGCGAGATCACGCTCTCGCTTGCCGCCCGCACCGCGAAACCTATATAAACCGGTGGCTCCTCCTTCTCCGCCACCTTCTTTCGCTCTCTCTCGACTCTTTTCTTCCTCTCAGCGACCGGCCCGCAACGCGTCACGCCAAACCACCCACCACTTTCCATCAACCTTCCATCTCATACTTCTTCCAATCAATTAATCTCATCTCAGCAATATGACTGGACGTAAGTATTTCATATTCTTTTCTTGCTTCAGCTATTAGTTCCTCGTCGTTCCCTACGCTCGGGTTGGGATGGTGGTGATGATCTTGGATGATCTTGATGATGCACCCCTGGTAACACGTGACCGCGTACCTGTCACGCCCACGCGTCGTGTCCAAGATTCCATTTGATCTTCACTCTACCCTCACATACCTCCTTTACTTAATTAAACATGGTATCACTCAACATGTACTAACGTTCTCTCACAGGCGGAAAAGGAGGCAAGGGTCTCGGCAAGGGTGGCGCCAAGCGTCACCGCAAGATCTTGCGTGACAACATCCAGGGTATCACCAAGCCCGCTATCCGCCGTCTCGCTCGCCGTGGTGGTGTCAAGCGTATCTCCGCCATGATCTACGAAGAGACCCGTGGTGTCCTCAAGTCCTTCCTCGAGTCCGTCATCCGTGATGCCGTCACCTACACTGAGCACGCCAAGCGCAAGACCGTCACCTCCCTCGACGTTGTCTACGCCCTCAAGCGCCAGGGCCGCACCCTGTACGGTTTCGGTGGTTAAATTGTCTTCAACCACTCGGAAGGGATCACTGCTCTGGTGTTTGTCATCTCTCTGGTTGTGAACCTTCGACTGGGGTGTGGACTAGACCGGCAGGATCCGCCGTGCGCCTTGTTTCTGGTTTCTGGGGGTTATTTCTTTTGACTCGTTACGGTATTGGGGTTTGGGATAACTGGGGTTCTTTTTTCTACAATTGGAATGGATTATGTCCACGGGTTTGATACTCTTACAACTTGCTTATTTTCTTGTTAATGGGATCGGATGGATGGATTCGAAATCATTGTATCTAGACGGCCCTTCGAGGCTTGATGGACGAAATATCACGTGAATGATCGTTGATACTTGTTTTTGATTTTTGCTTTTCCAGCCGTAATATGTATATATAGCACAGCCATCGTAACAGGAAATCTTCCCCCTACCAAGATGTTCTGGAATCTGTAGGAGGCAGAAAATCATCCGATCACATGCACCCCCGCACAGGCCACCTCCCACATGACGTAAGGGCCTGGAAGCATGCGGTAGCACAGAGAGAGAGAGAACTTACCTCGGTCGGCACAAGCATCCATCACATCATATCATATATCACTGTACCTGCCTGCTTACTACCTACAAGTTAGTACTCAGGCAATGTGCAAGACTGGGTGGTCTGATGCACACACGACATGCATCTTCTCACTAGCCATCCTGCGTTGATTGTCCTGTCGGGTCAGTCACTTGACTAAATAACCGTCAATCTGCACATTCCTAGTAGATTATCTTCTCTCCATCCCACACATCTATCTATCTTCTGTGAAACTCAAGCACACCTAACTTGGAGATTTATCGGGCCGAGTGGAATCAATATGTCGGAGTACAAGGTGGAGTATGATTCGGAGCTGGTAAGGCCATTGAATGATGTCATTAATATTCCTTCTTTATCCTTGAGGAAGGGGGATGGGATATGAAGAATGCTAACGAGAATCATGATATGAAAGGATTCCTTCCAGCTCTACCACCGCTACGAAGAACCCCAACCGAACCTCGACTGGAAGCGCGCCGCTCTCAGCGGGCCCGCACTTCCAGCGCTGGGCAATGCCGTCGCTGGAGCAGTCGGCTCCGCACTCTCCAACGTCGCGACATATCCGTTGAGTTTGATCGTTGCGCGCTTACAAACGCAGAAGGTCAGAAGGGGTACAAAGTCGGAGGAATCTGAGTCGGACGTCGAATATACCAGCGTCCTCGACGCAGCACGCAAAATCTACGCCGAGGAAGGAATCGCCAGTTTCTACACGGGTCTAGCACAGGATACGATAAAGTCCGTTGCGGATTCGTTTCTCTTCTTCCTTGCGTACGAGTTCTTTCGTCAGCGGAGGATACGCGCCCGGTTTGGGAATACGCGCCGCAGCAAACATACTGTTTTACCGGTGCTGGATGAGTTAGCGGTGGGGGTTTTGGCGGGGGCGTTCGCCAAGTTGTTTACGACGCCGTTGGCGAATATTGTGACGAGGAAGCAGACGGCTAAGGATGTTGGTGGTGGGAGTACGAAGGAGATTGCGGCGCGGATTAGGGCTGAGAAGGGACTACGGGGGTTCTGGTCGGGGTATTCGGCTTCGTTGATACTCACGCTGAACCCGTCGATTACGTTCTTTCTGAATGCTGTGTTGAAGTATGCGTTGTTGCCGAGGAGTCAGCGACAGAAGAGACCGTCTGCTGTGGCGACGTTCTTCTTGGCGGCTGTTAGCAAGTCGATTGCTTCGTCGGTGACTTATCCGTTTTCGATGGCGAAGACGCGGGCGCAAGTTGCGGGGAGTCGGATTACGGTGGGAGCTGATGGGGAAAAGAAGGAGGATGAAGGGGTGTCGTTGATGCCGGCGATTGTTAATAATGTGGCTGCGATTGCGCGCACTGAGGGTGTTGCTGCGCTGTATGCTGGACTTCCTGGGGAGGTGCTCAAGGGGTTCTTTTCACATGGGTTTACGATGCTGGCGAAGGATGCGGTGTATTCGGCTATTGTGAAGAGTTATTATCTGCTGCTCATTGCGCTTCGGAGGTATCCGACCCCGGAGGAACTGCTTCAGCGGGCTCGCGAACAGGCGGAGGAGCTTGCTGATGCTGCTCGTGAGGGTGCTCGTGATTTGGCCGAGAGAACACGGAGTGGCACGGAAGAAGTCCTGAGTCACCAGGCTGGGGGTGTGACGGTGGATATGACTTCCAGTGATTTGGCGGATTCGAACGAAACGGCGGAGATGGTGGGAGATTATGTCGAGGATGATGGTAGTGCGAAGAGTCTGTATCATTGGTTTTGGGAGAAGGAGGGATATGGCAAGGACTGAGTGAATAGCAGAGCAATCGTGTATCTTGTTACATTAATTTAGCGATTAGTTACTTAGTGTTGTAGAATGTTAACTAGTATGGGTAATGAATGAACTTGGTTTCTTCAGTGGATCCGAGCCGCGATCGACCCGCGGGACGCCCGATCGATTGATTCGCTCTCCAACCACCGCCTGTTTACTCGCCCTGTCAATTACCTTTTACTCCTACTTCTCTTCATCTCTTTCTCTTCCTTTCCTCCCTTTTATGACATCCAACAAATCTATCTAACAACTCTTCTCCAACCAGCATACCCCCATGCCGACCGACCCCCATCCCGGTCCCGGTCTAGGGGACCTGGAGAAAGAACTCACCTGCTCGGTAAGTAAATCCATCATCATCCATCCAGAAAGTAGTAGTGTGGGGGGAAGGAGATGTGCGGAATGCGGTCTGCGACTCCCCCGCCCACGAAATATCTCACCGTCCCTTGCTTCGCCTTGATCGACTAGCGAAATAACTGGCCGGAAAATATTCCCAGTAGATGCTAGACAGACCAGAAGCAGCAAGACGAATCCTCGGAATGTTTCTGTGCAGTTTATTAAGGTTCACCGGCTAACTCTCCCCCCTCCGACCCCAGATCTGCACGGATCTGCTCTACCAGCCTCTCACCCTCCTCGACTGCCTGCACACCTTCTGCGGCTCCTGTCTCAAAGAATGGTTCTCTGCACAAGCCTCCCGCGCCCGGTCGTCATCTTCCGTCCGCTTCACTTGTCCGTCCTGTCGCGCGGTGGTCCGTGAAACCCGCCCGAATGCTACCGTTACTACGTTACTAGATATGGTCCTGGCGGCGAGTCCCGACCGGGATAAGTCGGCTGAGGAGAAGGAGGAGATTGCGCTGAGATACAAACATGGTGATTCGGTGTTCCCTGTTTTGTCGTCGGCGGATCGGAGGGGTGATGCTTCGGATGACGAGGATCGGAGGCTGTTGGAGGAGGTAAGGGAATTGAGTTTGCAGGAAAGCCGGGTCCGGTCGAGAAATGCTAGTGCTACTACTGGTCATCGGTCGAGGCAGTCGTCGCGGACTCGTCGCACGGAATCGAGTGCTGAGGTGGATGGAGCGCGACAACGACGGCGAGAAGAAGAGCGTGCTGCGCGGCGACGACAGGGCGAGACTGCTGCGGAGCGCAATAGACGCATAGAGCATCAGTCTAGTTTGCGGTCGTTGTTGAGTTTGTCGGATACGGAGACGATACAGGACCAGATTCTACGGCAGATTCTGGAGGAGGGGCTGTTGGATGATATCGACTTCGATAATTTGGGTCCGGCGCAGGAAGAGGAGCTTAGTGAGCGCATCGCTGATGCGTATCGTCGGAGGCATAGATTGCGCTCTCGCTCGCAGCAACGGTTGGAGGCGCGGGAGACGAATCAGACGTCGTCACGGGCTCGGGCTCGCTCGCATTCTACGCAGAGACCACAGGAAAATCCTACGCAAAATGAGACTAGCCGGAATCCTCCTGTGTCGAGACCGCATCTACTAGATCCGCTGGTGGCACGAAATGGGAACCCGGGTCATCAGAGGCGGTTGTCAGATCAGGGCAGCAGCCGTCGGCGAACGTCACCGGTGCCTGCGAATCCTGCTTCTTCGTCGGAGGTCACGCTGAGGCCTGCAGCGCGATCGTCTAGTGACGTGGTTACTGACCGTCCCCGAAATTCGCAGGCTGCCCGAGTCAGAACGGATTCGTCGCCGCGCTCTCGACGTGCCACGGCATCTGAGCAGAGCACACCGAATATATGGGTGGAAGGAGCTAGGGAACGTGCCATCCGACGAGCTCCTGGTAGATTATCCATCGATTCACCAAGGGTGGTTGCAGCTCCTGAGCAAAATACACACACCGGTTCCTGGCCAGCGAGTCCGGGGATGGTTGTGCCCGCGAGCAGTTCCTTGGTAGCAGAGGTGGGAGGGACAGGCAGATCAGAGGCGCGATCTCGACCATCTTCGTCTCGGTCCAATGCGCCTCGCTCTGCTATCATGTTCCGCGAACCGTCTATTTCATGCGATCGATGTGGCAAGGAGAAGATACAATATGATTTACACAAGAAATGTCACAAATGCAATGATGGCGAATACCACCTGTGCTTGAGATGCTATCGCACTGGCGAAGGGTGTCTCGAATGGGCAGGCTTCGCCAAATCCGCAGAAGCGGACTTTGAACGTATCATAGCTTCTTCAAGTGGCCATCCCACGCCACTTCGCAGCAATTCCCAGCAGCACATCCTACAGTCGTGCAAGTACCGTCGGGCACCAGACATAGCCTACCGACCCGACCGAGACGGACGACTTATGACCACCGACGACCCAGCCCAAAGACTCACAACCGGCTTCTTCTGCGACAGCTGCCAATCCCCTGCGAACGACTGCTACTGGAAGTGCGACCAATGCAACGAAGGCGACTGGGGCTTCTGCAACCGCTGCGTGAACCAAGGACGATGCTGCACCCATGCCCTCCTCCCCATTTGCCGCATACCACCCGACAGCAATTCAACTCCAACCGCAACCACAACCGACAACACGCCCTCCCCATCACCCGAAACATACAAGATCCTCTCCATCGCAACAAACTGCGACATCTGCACGCACCCCATCCCCGACTCCACCCCGCGCTTCCACTGCCTCCAATGCAACAACGGCGACTACGACATCTGCACCAACTGCTACCTCCGTCTTGTGGCCATCGGCAAAATCCGTAAAGAAAACGGCCACAACGGCTGGCGCCGCTGCCTGAAAGGCCACCGCATGGCCGTGATCGGCTTCGAAGACCACGAAGAAGGCCAACGCCGCGTCATCCTCCGCGACCTCGTAGGCGGCCGTGCCCTCAACGACGACCACCTCATCCAGCCCCCATCTCCAACCGCCTCCCCAATCACCACCACCTCCACTGCCAACTCCACCATCGCCTCCCCTGAAGTTGGCTCCGGCGACTGGAGTTGGAAAGAGGGCTCCGAGCGCCGCAAAAAGGCCTCTCGGTTCAGACCCTGGACTATCGGTGATCGTGACCGTGATCGTGACCGCTCCTCCGAACCAAGCACACCCACCATCACCACATCCTCCCCATTTACTACATCCAGCCCAGCTATATCCTCACAAATTTTATCCCCAACAAATTCTACGACACCCACGAATGGCACCCGCCGCTACCCACCCGACGGCGGCGTCGGCTTAGTCGTCCATGCCCTATGGTCATGGTACCCCGAAGACGGAGTCAAAGATGAACTGATGTTCCCGCGCGGGGCGGAAATCACCGAAGCAGAGAATATCAATGATGATTGGTACTGGGGGTGTTATGCGGGATTGACGGGGTTGTTTCCGGGGGCGCATGTATTTGTTGCGGGGGAGGTGGTTTGATTGATTGATGATGACAGTTCGGGGTTTCTTTCATGATGTTTCGATTGAATTTGTCTTTTGTTTTCCTCTTTCTGCGTGATTTGTTTATGGCTTCACTGACTGATGATGATGATATGTTTCATGACTTATGTTTTGTATGTAGTATATGTTGTTGTTACTTTGCTATGATGAATGAATGAATGAATGAATGAATGAACGCATAGGTCAATGATTGAGGAATAAGGTATGAGATAGTAGTGCTTTTGTATATGCTCTGAGTAGATGGATTTAGCTTGGACGTATGTATCTATCTGATTATCTCAGAGGTTTGTGTGTTTGGTGTAGTGCTCGTCTTCTTCCGTCTTTTTTGTGTGAAAATTCTTTGAAGACAGATCTAAAATAAAGATTGATGATAGGGTAGATTCACAGATTAGAATCAATCTTGATGGTCTCATTGATGGAAAGAACTAGCTAAGTAGAATTAACCCGCGTTGATGATAATCATCGCAATTCAGTAAACTAGATAAAGGCAAGAAGAAGTAGCCATCCAGCCCAGTCTATCATCGCCCATAACGATAATGCAGAAACAGACCCAGCCGCACCATACCATACCCTGCCCAGTCGTAAGTCATGGCTGTTTCGTCAAGTAAACATTAAAAAAGCGATAGCAAGTACGGCTACTGCAATAAAGCAACCATCAATCGCTGGTAATCACCGCTGGTCTCCCCCTTGACCCGCTCGATAAGATCTTTATGGAACCGATGGCGATATGCCCGTTTCACCTGGTCCAAATGCCCAGGCGCCCAGTGCAGGCGGACCACTCTTGTCACCAGTTTCTCGTCCTTGGTTCCCATTCCCTTCATGCAGTCTTCGAGCTGCTCAGCGTCGTGCATGGCCGGATCCAACGCAGCCCCAAGCATATGCAGCAGTGCATCCTTCATGTGCCCGGAGAATTCTTTCTCGATGTGCTTGGTCAATTGAATGTTGTAACGATTATAGAACGCATGATTGAGGGCACGGAGCTCGTTATCGGAGGCCCTGGCTATGATACCACATACTTCATCAACGTTGTTGACCATTCGCGCCGCCGTTGCTTGGTGAAGGGACTTGGCTTCTGCTTCGATGAGTTGCGGGTCTAATGGGGCTGATTCCTCGTGTCGAGACGCGCGAAGTACCAGGGTAAACAAGTTCCGGGTTTTGAATGACAAGTCATCTTCAACGTCCTTTTCGAGAGCGCGGTGGTATGTCTGGTGATAAGCGGCCTTTATGGCGTTCATATCAGCATTAGACCGGGATAGAAGGATGTCGTTGAGAAGCCATTCCTTCGTCCCAATGCCTTCGACAGCTTCCCTGGCGCAGGCCACATCGTACTGCAACGGGCCATCAATGATAGCTAGGAGACCCCGACGAAAGTAGCCGCTTGTCTCGCCTTTGACATCCTTGTAGAGATCTCGACGGATGTGGTGTGTGTAGGTGGATCGTAGGGCGGCCATCTGGAGAGGGTCTAGCTTGGCGAGAACCTGAATCAGGGTCTTCTCATCTGTCCCGAAGCCTTTCATTGCGCGACGGAGCTGATCGGCTTGGGGTCGGAAGTCCCCGTTTGCTTGCTGACCTCGAACGTAGCCCAATGATGGCACGGACGCAAGCGGGGGATAAGATTGAGGGTGTGGCGGCAAGGGAGGTGCCGCACCGAACGATCCATGAGGCATGCCTTGTGAAGGCCCATGAGGAGCGCCCTGTGGAGGAGGCAAGCCTTGCGAATATCCTTGTGGGCCCCCGTGGTACATATCTAGTCGACCTGGAGGAGCGCCTTGCGGGGGATGAGGATATGGAGGCTGATTAGGGTGTGGAGCGCCGTAGGGAGGGTAGCCAGGCTGGTTGGGGTAAGGTGGAGAGGCCATGTGGTGCTGGTTCTGAGGAGGAAATGGTGGTGGGTTCTGTTGTTGACCGTAGCCCTGCGGCGGGCCAGTGAATTGAGGATATGGAGGGCCTGTGATGAAGGGCATGATCAGCATGATGCAGGAACGCGGGGACAATTGTGGGGCATCACATACGGTTCTGATGGGGATACATGATGGTATAGGAATAGAGAAGAATCTATCTGTTACTAAGAAGGAAGAGGAAGCTTCAGGGAGAGGAGAGGGCCAGGGTATTTATTCCGCGAACAGAGGCGGAGCGAAGTCATGATGAGCACCGCCTCTCGAAGATCCCCAGCTTGGGAAGGAACCGTGGGATCGGAAGAGTTTAGCAGGATCCACCAAGTTCATGTCAAGCAGGCAGGGACTACCCTGGTTTGATATGGGCTACTCATACTGGACTGAGTGCTATGGTCGGGCAGGCGGCAGTAACACCGATTTACCTTGGTTGTGCTCGATTGGCCCAGTGGTTAAGGCTACAACCCACGGGACCCTTGGTTCGATCCCGAGATCGAGCAAAACTTTTTTAATTTTGCTGCCTTTTTGGTCTTATACTTTTTCTCACTCTCAATAGTCAAGCATCAAGTCATGATGATCGCAACCAATCAGGCAACTGTCATAAGCAATTCTCGGAGAATCTTCCATTCATCTGCAGTTCCAATCACCCGGCATTCGTCAAGTTTATGCTGGAAACACATGATCTGCGCTTCACCACCAGTTCGGTGGGCACCTGCCGTGGCGCAGCACAAGGCTGACGCACCTGTGCCATGACTCCGCGAATAAACTCTGCTGAAGGCGCTCACTAGGCAAACACGGTAATTAGCGGATTTGGTCCTCTGTGTACGAAACTTCATTTTTTTCAATTGATAATGAGAAGTTACTCAGGAAGTTTCGCGCGTCTTCGATGATGACATCAGCAGATGTATAATCACGTGAGCGACAACTCTATCTTATCATCACATGATCCGGGCGCATCACGTTTATCGCGTCCTGGATGTGCTTGGTCATTTCTCAACTCGCATCAACTCACAGATCCCCGTCGCAGACCCGTCGCTCATATCACAATGGCTGAGGCGACAAACGAGACTGCTGCAGCTGCAGCTGCAGACCCTCAACCACCGGTTGTCACTTTCAAAAAGCGTGGCGCAAAGGCCAGTCAGAACATCCGCAAAAGACCAGCACCGCCTCCCGTATCGCAAGACGACGATTCTTCCGACTTTTCCTCCTCTGAAGACGAATCTGGTCACCGGATAAAGCGCAGAAAGAACAAGGGTGCTGGGGTTGTTTCTGCTTCATCCGCCACAACCAAGCCTGTCGATCGGGAACCTGCGACCACCGCCACCGGTGATGGCAAAGTCCAGCTCGCAGATACAAACGACGCCACAAAACATGTCGACTGGTTCGACGAGGATTCTAAGGATGCGCGTTCGTCCAAAGCTCAAGCTATCTCGAGTGAGCCGCAGATGCCGGATGGCACATATAAGGGACTGGCGAACCAGACGTCGTTCATTAAGAAGAATCCGAATGCGCCAAACAGGTCATTTGGACCGATCAAGGCGGCGACCAATATCCGTACCATAACGGTGACAGATTACTCACCGGATGTGTGCAAGGATTACAAGCAGACTGGGTTCTGTGGTTTCGGTGATAACTGGTAAGTGTCATCACCCCTTACCCTTGACAGACATGTTTGCCACCTGATAGGGGATACTCTCTTCTTGAAACGTATGCTAACCATCATTGTATAGTAAATTCCTTCACGATCGAAGCGACTACAAACAAGGATGGGAACTTGATCGAGAGTGGGAGACCGTCACCAAGGGCAAACAATTGAAGGGAACAGTGGTCGCGAGTGCCGACCGGACAACGACGGAGAACAAGGACGATGATGAAGAGGCTATGCTGGAAGACATTCCGTTTGCCTGTTTTATATGCAAGGGGCCATACAGGGAGCCTATCGTCACGAAATGCGGTCATTACTTCTGCGAGCAGTGTGCTCTGCAAAGGTACAGGAAGGATCCAAGCTGTGCAGCCTGTGGATCCGCCACGAATGGATTATTCAGTACGGCTAAGAGACTGAAGAAGCTGCTAGAGAGGAAGAGGGAACTTGCGGCGAAGAGGAGACAGGAGGCTATTGAAGCCGGTGAAGAAGTGAGCGACGAGGAAGATGAAGAGTGAGATGCATGTACATAATATCAATTGTTCCGGATCTAGGGAATGTCAACAGGACGCTCTGAGAGCGTCTTCATCATTTACGGACACCTGCATAATTCTGAATTAGCGCTCTTGTGGTCATTATGCTTCATGTTGTGACCCAATATATCGTAGGCTTGACACTCGGAGTTAAATGCACGGGTAACCTTGGTAGACCCGTTCACAGGGGTTGCTCCTCCCCCTATACCAATACCGTGAACTCCTGCCAAACTTCACTAGAAAATCCGACAAATACAATGCCTTGTGTTTGAGGCGAAGCCAAACGGATAAACTTATACCCGGAAGCTTTCGAACTCCTGCTATTCGATACCGTTGACATGTTCAGCCCAGCAATGTGGCTATCTTTGTGGGTTGACATCTGCATGTATGCAGAACAGATAAGCAACACGTCAGCGAGCAGTCTCCCAAACGACGATGTGGCTTAGCCTCTAGATTTCTTCTCGAACAACAGTAGAATAAACTGATTATGTACATCAACTTTCCCAAGGCTGAGGCGATAGTGGGGGGGCCATACGTATGCTTCGATCCACTCCGAGGCGCTAATTGTGCCCTAAACGCTCTTATGGGGAACATCGACCGAACCCGGAGTGTGGCCACTTCGTGCTTCGGAAATCGGAATGATATCAGACACGAGTAATTGAGAGTAATTTTGGACATGCTGGACTGAGAATGTATGTATTCTACTTCATGACCATTTGTTCAATTTAGTGATCAATATTATCCACATTCAAATGAGCAGGCCCTCCCACAGCGCGGCTTGTCGGGAACCAACGTACCAAAAAATATGGAGACTACGAACCCTAAACTTGGTATTAGAACGCGCCCCCCTTCGTCTCAATAATATTCCCCAGTCTAATCCATGGATTCGACTGTTTGACAGCCCCTGATAGG